ATGTTCTCCTTCATTTCTGATCCAGTTATAAATTCAGTTCAGCTAACAAAATGAGCAGGACCTGCTGTAGTTGTGTGTCTGCTGTATATGGTTTCTGTAAGAATTACTGATCTAAGGCATAGCCCTTAGTATTCATATACCACTTCTAAGTTGGTAGTGGTGGCAGAGGATTCTCTCTCTCTCTCTCTCTCTCTCTCTCTCACACACACACACACACACACACACACACACACACACACACACAGCTTGAATTATTGAATTCAAGAAGTGGCAAAGGAGTGGATGGAGAAGGAAGCCATGGGCAGGCTCCTGCTAAGAGAAAGAGCAGAGTCTTGTAACATGGAGCCAGGCCTTTCTAGCATCAGACAGGCCCAAAACTGCCCCTTACTGTGTTGCTCATCTTCACCACTGAAAATACTCATCTTCACCAGAAATGCTGGCATGCATTCCATTTGCCCAGACTGGTTGCAGGTTCTTGAAAACCACCAGGCGTTAAAAACCAAAGGATGCATATTCATCATACATTTAAAGCACATTATCTCCCACAAAGAATCCTGGGAACTGTAGTTTGTTAAGGATGCTGGGAACTGTTGTTCTGTGTAGGATAAACTAAAGTTCCCAGGACTCTTTGGGGGAAATAATGTCCTTTAAAGGTGGGATACGTGCGCAGTTCAGATTTTCTGCCTTTAAGTACTATAGGTATCACCAGGGAGGGGAAACAAGCAGCTTAGCCTCGCACCACCTCATTGGTAGAGTCCAACAGCTGCGTGAAGAAAATGCACTTTTTACATACAAATTGTAACTGGATCATATACTAGAAATTAAAATAAGGCTGCAGTCCCCAAGCACGCTTACAGGAAAACTAAACTCCATCAAAATCAACGGACTCACATCAGAGAAAAGACGTTGATGACAACCTGAATGTATATGAAATATACCATATTTTTTCTTTAAGAAATATAGCATGTGGGACAAAGCTCTCCCCATCCCAAAATGCACTTTGCCCCTTCCACACTCTCCCCAATATTTTTGTGCCCTCTACCCCTTTGCGCGGGTGCCTCCAAGGTAAAGTACCCTGCAATCTCCAAGATAAAAATGAAGGATGAGGGAATATCGTAATCTCAGCCAGAGGATAAAGGTGGGAGAGATCAGTGCACAAATCACAGCACCAACTATACCATGGATGGCAGGGAAGGATCAGGCAAGGAAGCATCTCCATCTACCCTTGTTTCCTTGGGTTACTGTGTCCTACACTATTCTATGTCTCTCTCAACAAGCTGACTAATCCATTGAAATTGCCTGTGTTCCTGGGGAAAGATGCACTGTTTACCTCTTTGTATGTTAAATCTCTTAAACTCAAAGTGTTTTGTCAAAGATTGATCCAGCCACAATCCCACAGTAGAAGAAATGTTAAATATACAATTAATTATGAAATGGTCTAAATATAAAGAAATCCCTGTGGAGAGTTTGCCCCACCATGTCCGAGGGGTAGATTTTGGAGGGTTGTGGATTCTGGTAGATTTTGAGACACCATGTCTTCACTTTGTGTGACCAACCTTTGTTGCACGGTAACCATGAGGTTTTTGTTTAGATTATTACTTTCCATTTTTTATCTTGATATTTGCATATTCTGGATTTCTGCCTAAATCACACACTCACAAAGTGTAATTTGTACTTCCATGTATTTTGCTTTTAGTTTTGCCCACCAGTTGTGCCTGGTGTAACAACTGGCAGTAAGCAGAGGACAGGCAAATGGCATAATTGATAGCATAATTGATAGCAACCACTTTAGGCTGCAGTCCTAGACCCGCTTATCTGAGAGTAAGCACCACGGAACCAAGTGGAACTTCTGGGTAAATATAGGTAGGAGTCCACTGTTAAAAGTGAATTAAGCCAGTTCATGGGTAAAGATGATTTCATTGGCCATGCTAGATTAAAAACCAAACGTTCCTCTTTATAGGCAATGTATCTCCAATTACCAGGTAAACAAGAGGGGGTGGTTTTCTCCTCCCTGCCTTGCAAGTACTGCTGTGGAGAGTGTGGGGATTAGATGGGTGCTGGTCTGATTCAGCAAAGCTGGAATCTTCTCCTCTGCCTTTCCCCCTAGTCTTCAACTTTTTCAGACCCTCAGCCCATCTTTTACCCAAACATGAATTTGGTGACCCTTAAAAAACACACACCCAAAAAACTATGTATTTACCATAAATCAGGATGCAACCTAATGCGGGTCCTGAATCACCAGTTGAATACCAAATTGCTCTTCTCACACATGGACCTATAGGGTGACATTCAACTAACCTTTACACAGAGTAGACCCATTAAAATTAACACACCTACGTCAGTCATGTGTTAATTGATGTCCATCAATTTCAAGGAGTCTATTATGAGTAAAGCTTAGTGAAATGCAACCCGTGGACACAGTTTAGCAACCACTTTTAGCTCTCTTGCAAAATACACACAGAGCAAAAGGGTTAATGGCACAAGCCTTCCCAATGCACCATCACAAACGCCAGGCTGTGTCATGCAACCATCCCAGCATATATGCCTTGAGGTCCTCAACACTCTCTGGAGCCACACTCCAAACATGCTGCCACAGAAGCAGGTGCACATCTGCAAGGAAGGTATTGTTTGGGTCTGGGGTAGCAGCCCATCACCACCTGAACTGCTTCTTGCATAAGATACCAGGGACCAAATTATCTGACCCTCGCTGCCGCCCTGCTTGGGAGCCTTAGGCGTCTTTACCATCCTGCCAAGCAGCACAGGAGGGCTTTTAATCACAAGTCAGGTGTAAATGTGTGAGTTGTTTTAAAGTCACCTGCATGGGCTCAGCCACTGCTGGCAGCAAAAAGACCCTAATAAGCAGAGAACTTACTTTGGCCCCAGTTCACTAAGGGCCATCTCCTTATCCTTATCACTAGCTCGAAGTGATAAGCCCCCTTTCCCCCATAAGAAGAGCCTGCCTCTCCTCCCCATCGCCCAATCACTGATAATGGAAGGGTTTGCCGAGGTCTGCAGAGTGAGTATCCTTCCTCCGTCTCTAGGATCGCATCCCCCCATGTCCGTCCCGTCCAGGGAATAGCGGGATCGCCGCCTCGCCCCTCTTTCCCCGCCGCAGCCCTCTCCCCTGCTTGGCCCCTGCCTGCGCTTCCGCAGCCTCACCGTCCTCGTAGTTCTTGAGGTAGTAGTCGGGTCCGGGTCCGCCTCGGCTCTTGGCCGGGTTCTTCACGTTCTGGAACTGCAAGAAGTCGGTCCTCTTGCCGGCGAAGCGGAGGAAGGCGGGCGCCAGGCCACGGGCCAGGGTCACCAGACGCCGGGAGCTGCGCGGACAAGGAGCTGCGTGAGAGAGGACGGATCCTGCGCAGCCCAGGGCCCGACACCCAAGAGGCAAGCCGCGCTCGGAGCGCCGCCATCGCGCCTCCCCCGGTGCACACCGAGGGCGCCGCTAGCCCGTCAGGCCGTCAAAGGCCCCGAAGGGAAAGAGGAGGCTGCCCGGAGAAGCAAAGGAGGGCTCCCGCACCGGCTGCCGTCGCCAAGGGGCCGGAAAGCCACCCTTCGCCCCACGGAAGACCGCCCAGAGGGACGACGGGGCATCTTCTCCAGCCCTCCGTAAGCAGCCGGGAGAGATGCGGCTGAGAAAGGAGACCTGGAGCTTGCGCTCTCCCGACGGGCAGCGACGCGACCCTGGGACGCCCCTCTCCCTTTCCTCGCGGACCGGCTGGAGGGCAAGCCCGCCCCGTCTTGGGCATCGGCGCGGGCTCTGGGGGGATTCCTTCGGACTCTCTCCCATCCGGGCCCCGTTAATCGCGTAGGGGAACGGTTCTCCTGACCCAAGAAGCCCTGGAGTGACCGCCCCCTGGGACATCGACGGTTATCAGATTCGCCCTCTCGGGGCTGAAACCCGCTCCAGAACCGGGCGCGGGCGGTGGGGCTAAGGCAAGCGGCAGCATTTCTCTCTCTCCCCCCCCTCCAGCCAGCCTTTCCGAGATGCTTTCTCCATTGCAAACATGTGCATCTTAATAGGAACCATGGCCCGGCCTCCTCCTCGCGTCCCAGCCGCGGCTCGGCGAGGCCGTGGAGGGGGGACGCGCGGAGCGCAAAGGGCGCGCTGGGGTAGCGCGCGGCGGGGCGGAGGGGGGCGCCGAGGCGGGCTGGCAGGAGGGGAGCGAGCCCGTGGGGTGGGGAAGGCCGGGGAGCCGCTGCCGCCCCTCCTTACCTGAGGAAGTCCAGCCAGCCGTCGTGGAGGATGGAGGGATCCAGCTGCAGCGAGAGGAAGTTCTCGCTGGTGACGCGGAGGGGGCTCCTGGCGCTCACGTCCAGGAGGATGAGCGTCCGGCCCGGGGCGCCCTGCGGGCCAGTCCCGGCGGGAAGGCGCCTCACCCCGGCCTGCGAGGGGAGCGAGAGGTGAGCCAGCAGCGCTAGTCCAGGGGCCAAGAGGGCCAGGAAGCCGGGAGGGCCAGCGCTGGGGCAGGGCATGCTGGGCCGAGGCCGAGGGGGGCTCCCCGAATTAAGTCCCGCGCCGGGCACAGCCAGTCGCGGGCGGCTAATTGTCCGGAGTGCAAAGCGTGGGGGCGAAGCTGCCTTTTTTCCCCTGCCCCCCAATGTTTTGGTGCTGGTGGGAGAGGGGAGCTCACGCCCCTGACCAGCCTTCCCCGGGGCCGGTGCCAAGACGCCTTGTTCGCCAGCGCCGCCCCTGGAAGAGCCGCCGCCTGCGGACATTTTCGCTCTCGCAAAGGTAAAGGGGAGTCGCTCCGGGGTTAACCCTCTCGGCACGGGTTCCCCGAGGGGCCAGGCCGGCTCCCGGAGGGGGCCTGCGCGCATCCGGAGGGAGGGGGAAGGGGGAGATGGGGAGGGGATTGGCCTCCCCCCCCTCCGCGCGCGCACCGGGCTTCCTTCTCTCCAACTGCCGGGTAGGAGGCCTCCGGTCGCCGCCGCCGCCGTTGCTAACAGTCTCGCTACAAAAAGGTGGCTTGGCAAGAGCAGCCCCAACCGGAGGCGAATAACGGGGACCCCCTGACCGTCGTTGCCTCGTCTCTCCCCAGCCCCGACGCGGAAACCTCGCGCAAGAGTAGCCCGAGAGATGGGTAGGTAAGCAGGGCTCTGTCTCTCCCTTCACACAATCTTTTCCGCCGGCCTTTGGCTCTGGACAGTCAAAAATCTGGGGGCTGGAGGGGAGCAGGGGTGCCCATCTCCACCCCACCTACCCCACTGCCAGCCTCTGCCTTCGGTGCTGAGACTGGAGAGGACGAAAGGAGGAAGTCCCGGCGCTCCCGGGAGGGAAAAAGGGGAAAGAATCCGAGCCCGGACGCAGCGCGGGTGACTCGTTCCCGGGAGGCTGGTTTTCATCTATTGGTAACGCGGCATCTCCCCGACGGGAGAGGAGATCTCGCTCCCTTCTGCTACGTTTTCGGTGGAGGGGCCTTACCCCGGCCAAGGGAATCTCCCCCACCCATCCCGCAACGGACTGGGGATCCTGTGACCCTCCACATGTTGTAGGTCTCCAACTCCATCTGCTCCTTACCGCTAGACACGCTGGCCGGGGCTAATGGGCGATGGACTGTGGGAGGGAGAGAGACAGGTTCTCAAACCGTTTGCTTAGGGATGAGCCAAAGGGCAGGCGGGAGGCGCTTCCCTTTGAATCGGAGTTTTTTGCATTTGCGGGGTGGGGGGCTAAGAGAGAAGGGCCATTTATTAATCCAGCTGAAACCCCTCTTTGACTGAAGGGTCTTTCTCTCCCCCTCTCTCTCTCAAACTACGCGCGGCGTCTTCACTTGGGCTGTTTTCGCGCCCTGTTTCTGCACCGCCGAAGTAACTTGCGAGTAAACGTGCCCGAGATTGCAGGACTGCGATCTCGTGCTTCGCGCTGCGGTGGAAACCGAGTCCAGAAAGGGCGACTTTACTGCCAAAGAAATGCATATTGCCCGAGCTGATCCCGGTCGCCCGGGACCGCGCGCCACAGGATTTGTCCCGGCTTGGAAGTGCTTAGTCCCAGAGTGCGGGAATATATATTTTAAGCAGAGTAACCCATTTAAGCAATGCAATCCTTCTTTATGTCTGAGTCTCGTTCCTTTCCTGGAAAGGAAAACCCGGGTAAAACAAAAGGGATGCAGAACACAAACACACACAGCCCATCCGCCCTCAAACTCTTCAGTTGTCTTAGTGGGAGAGCAAAAGGCCAGGTCGGTTTGGCAAGGAGACCGGCTCGAATTATTGCCTCCCGGGAGCTGCTGTTTCTTGGTGAAGTCCGTCACATTTCTTCTGTAGTCAGCCTTGCGGACCTCGATAGATTGGAGCCCTGCGAGCGATCTCCAAGCCTAGTTTTAAACATTTATAGGGGAGGGTTAGCCTCAGTCCTCCTCTGGGTTTCCTTGGTATGCGAAGAGCTCCCAGATGGTGTGTCCAACTGGCTCTTTGCACTTTCCCGGTGCTCACTAGGAGAACTGTCGTTGTGTGTGCACGCTGGAAATAATAGTTGTTGTTGTTTTACACTGCAGAGGGTTTTTATTTAAGTCGTAAGATTCGCTGGTTGTGAATGAAATCTCCGAGAGTTTCGGATCTCACCCCAGCCGTGCCGGATTCTGCGCCTCCTAATTTGGAAGTGAGCCCCTTGAGGCTTACACTCCCAAGTAAGTGTGTGTAAGATCGCGGCCCCATAAAGCTTTTGAGCAAACCCGCGCGCGGTTTTTGTATCGCCTTTATCCCACCGCAGAAATATCCACTGATGGACAACTTGCCCTTGATCTCAGGAGAGCGACCTTCTCATGAAATCAGAATGTCTCCAAATGATCCAAGTCCTGCTTGTGCGAACATGCTCTCGGGATGTGCGAGCTGTGGGTGCAACTCTGCCTTCGGAGATGCCCAGTTAGACTTGGGGTTGGGGGAAACGGCTTTGAGGTTTAAAAGGTTCAGGATGGTAGATGTGCTGCGTAAAATTGCTGTTTGGAATCACGAAGATGGAAGAACTTAGTCCTGGCGCTGACAAAAGACTACCGGAGAAATAGATTCGATCTTGGGGCAGTGGAGGGGGGGGGACTTAGGCTGGGCCCTTGGTTTGCAAGAAAATAACGGTGGACATGGACAATTTCCTCTCCTCGTTCACGAGTATTTATGCTCAAGTTGACACTACTGAAGAACTTTCCAAATTCACAACAGTAGCCTGAGGGGGTCATCGAGCCCAGTAGCCTGTCTTTGACAGTGTCCAGAGCCAGATGCGCCAGGAAGCGCTTTCAAAGGAGGGGGCGGTGAGAGGAGGGGGGTATTCCCATCACGGCTGGCCTCTGTAAATGTAAGCAATATCAGAAATGCTACGCATCAGACCCAAAGAAAAATTAAAAAGTGGTTCCTTTCAAGGCACGGCTCACCTGGGAAACTCTCTTTTAAAGAACCACGCGAACTGTAGTTTGCCAAGGGTGCTGGGAACTGTAGCTCAGTGGGTGGGGGGGATAAACTACAGGATCCCCAGGACTCTTGCAGAATGGGTTTTTAATATATGGCCTGTACGCAGCCTGAACCACTGTTTTACGTCCTGTAAGCCTGATGCCCTGTAATATAAATACATACATTTAACATAGGAATTATCAGCAAACGTTCCCTTGAGAGAGACTAATGTTTAAGGCAAGGGGTGCCTAATAGCTCAAGTTTCCATAGTCTAAAACTGGGCCTTTGGAGAAGCAACGATCAGATCTGTTTCAAGCTTGATGCCTTCGGATATAAATGGGGCATTTCTTTTCAGGTATTCCTGGTTTTGTGCGGTTCAGACACATCTTTCCTTTGTTCTCTTCTCTTTTTTTCAAAGATGAAGTGTTTAAACCTTTGCTTGTGACCAAATAATTCTGATTGAGCTTCTCTTTACCGCCTTAAAATCAACTGGGAGAGCAGGAATATACGGTATTATTCATGGCTCGAGGCGTAATGGTATGAAGGTGATCTTCTTTTCAACGGCCCCTTTGCTCTTCTGCACTAAGAAAGACCCATTGTACATTAGATAACCCGGCCGTCGCGCATCCGACGAAGTGACGCGCAGGAAAGCAAATGCCACTCTCAAGTCTTGTCCTCTTCAAGGAAAGGACAGGGCTCTTTGTTGTTTCCGCTGCAGTAGACTGAACGCACTACCCGCGCTCGGAACTCTAACGTGATGTTTATTCTTTGGGCTGGGGAGCTACAGTCTCTTGGACCGACATTTCGACGGATCTCCCCAGAATGGGGGCTCCTGGCTGTTGTCGTTTCAAGGGGCGATTGTGGCCGCGTGTTTATTCAGAAGGAAGTGCCACTGTTTTCAGCGGGGCTCTCATCTGCCACCTCAGTCAGGTTCCCATTACACTTGTTGGGGAACAAAGGTGCGCTAGGCGCTGCGTTCCACTTACCTCCCAACACAGTGGAGGGGTCTGCGATCCTAAGCACATTTTCCATAGGAAGAAAAACAAGATTTTTTTTAGGACTGGGATGAAATGCTGGATAACATCTCCACACTCACAGGGTGTATGAAGCTGGCTCTGCATAAGTGCAATTGCTTCCCGAACCCTCAAGACCTTGTGTAAAGCCTACTGAAATCAACGACGCCTTGCCTTCATTTTTAGATTTTATTATGTTCTTTGGCCATCTCCTCCTCCTCCCAAGTAGCATTAAATCCCATCTGCTGTTTCGTTGCTTGCGATCCTAAGCACCGAGGGCGACTGGTCTTTGCAGTGCAAGCCCACGCGTGTCTACTCAGAAGTAAGCACCACTGATGTCAACGGGACTTACTTCCAGGTACCAGATAAGACCACCGCCTCCGTCTGCTTTAGATTTAGCTGCTTTAGCTGCTTTAAATGACCTGATAACCTGCAAATCTTGTCACATTCTTACTTCCTTTTTCAGGCCATTAATGAATACATATTTTTTTGTTTTTAAAAAGCTCCTGGTGAATTCACCGTTCATGCCTGACCAGTCTTGGCTGCCTATATTTTATCCAGCTGGGGAATCCAGAAAAATTCGTGCTCCCTTCGTGTCATGATTTTTAGGTGCTTTCCTAGGGTTTTGTTTGATTTTTTTTAATTCATTTTTTGATTTTGCTTTCCATGAGGAACGGAGTTAACGGGGTGCTTTTGAACAACTTGAGGATGAACAAAGTCTCTCTTATCCATTTTTATGACACTGTTATGGGAGGGGGAATAATTACAGTGCAATGCTAGTCTAGACGTATCTAATCAGAAGTCCCATTGAGCTCAATGGGCAGGCGGGTATAGGACTGAAGTTTTATAATTCCTAAATGAAATGTATTTGCTTGGGTGATCCGTGAGGAATCTCCATGGCCCTCGTTTACTCAGTCTGGACTCTCCAGTTTGTGATTCATGGCCTCAGAATTCGGAATTTGTCATTCATTATTTTGATATTTCTCTAACTGGTAACACATGCTCCAAGGCCAAAACCTCTAAGTAGAGGAATATATAAAAATAATAATAAACTGCAAATTGGGAAGTCGGGATTTAACCCCCTATAATGGGATGTTGCAAACTGAGTCGATGGCATTTCCAAATGAGATGTTGCAGACATAAATATCGAGGGTGGAGTGGGTGTCTGGAAACCTGGGTTTTGTTTTGTTTTTTGAAAACGGATTTTCGCATGGACAGATGTTTAGCAGAGGGACGAAGTGCTGACGTTGGCTGCTTTGCAAATGAGGCTGGAGTCTCCAGGAAAACCCTGGAAAGCAGAATCCTGAATTCCCAGCCTAACCCCTCGCTGGAATCACGAGATCCCGCATAAGGGCATTTCCACCGAGTTTATACTCAGGCAAAATCCCCAGTGGGTGGGGCAGCAAGGGTTGCCAGCGCGCAGGCTGATGTATCTAAGCTGAATCTCCTCAGCCATTGTTCGAGGTGAAAGGAAAGGATAGCAAGGAGCGAAGTTCTTTCTCCCAAATACCTCCCTTCGTCGCACCCGCAGCGGTGCCCTCGCCCCATCCATCCTTAATGGAATCCTCGCCGAAAGCAGACATTGCCAAGAGAACTAGCCGGCAGGGGGCGCACTGCACGGAGCCTCTGGCTTTCCGAAGGCCTTTTAGTACCAAACTGACGGCAACCAAGAGCTTGAAGATGTTCAACGAGCGCCTCCTGGCGGCCGAAAGCCCGATGCGTTGCCATAAACTTGGAATGCTTAGCATTCCGGTGCATCCTTCGGAGCGCCCCTTCTGCAGGGCTAGGAAGGGAAGGGAAGACCCGTCAAACAATGCTGCTCTAACCAAAACACTCTGGCCTTGGCCAGCCACATTTTTAAATTTAGATTGGTCGAAACAGAAAATCCCCAAAGAGCAGGTGCCTGGCTTCGCTGGGTAAGCTCAGCTGATTCCTTGTTCACAAGGACCGCGCAAGAAGACACCTCGCTGCCCTACGCCAAACAGCAAAATAGCACACACGTACAGCCAGGCCAGCCAAGTAATTTGGGCATCCTGGACAGAAATACAGTGGTACCTCGGGTTACATACGCTTCAGGTTACATACGCTTCAGGTTACAGACTCCACTAATCCAGAAATAGTACCTCGGGTTAAGAACTTTGCTTCAGGATGAGAACAGAAACCGTGCTCCGGCGGCGCGGCAGCAGCGGGAGGCCCCATTAGCTAAAGTGGTGCTTCAGGTTAAGAACAGTTTCAGGTTAAGAACGGACCTCCGGAACGAATTAAGTACTTAACCTGAGGTACCACTGTACCTTTCCGTTTCCCTGGCAGCAGAGATACAATTATCCTTAAGTCAGTTAAATTTGCTGCCCTTCCATGACACCCAGTTTCAGCTGCCTGAGGCTGGCCCCGTCTAGGTGATGACACGTTAAAGACTCCGCGGTAAAGCGCCGCGTTTGGTGCGATGTGAAAAGGAGGAATAGGCACTACCGTGTGTGAACTAGCCTCATCCCGCTACGTTTACATTCCCAGGAACTGCCAGGGGAAATCCGTCCCCGTTGTATAACCGCAGGGCACCGGATTCCTGGAAGGTAGCCTGCTGTCCTTTACGCAAGGGAGTAAACCAATGCGGGACAAGGTAACAACCCCCCTTGGCACATTCCTTCAGTAAAACGTCATTTTATTGCATTTATACCCCCCCCCTTTTTTTTTTTCTCCAAGGAGCTCAAGGCGGCATACATGGTTCTTCTTCCCCTCCTCATTTAATCCCCACAACAACCCTGTGAGGTAGGTTAGGAAGAAAGGCAGTGACTGACCCAAGGCGAGCTTCATGACCAAATGGGGGTTTGAACCCAGGTCTCCCAGGTTCTAGCTAGCACTCTATCCACTGTACAACACTGCCTCCCAAACGATCCCCGTCCTACGTTTGAGAATGGTACGAATACCGGATAGCCTGTTTTCACGCCCGTCAAGATCAAAGGGGGAGCCTTTTCCAACGGGAATGATCTAAAAGCCTGCTAGACCAAAGCTCCGCAGGTCGTGCTGGCTGGGGCTGATGGGAGTTGGAGTCCTCCCTAAACAACTGCTCGTTGCCCTTCTGCCTGCAAAAGCCCAGACTTAGAGACGTCTTTTCTAACCCTCACCTACTGCTCCCTCCGTTAACTTGGGCATGTTGCCTATACCGTCGGGTTTTTAGGGGGGAATCTTGGGAAACTGAACGAGAGTTTGGGTATGGAGGGGGCGAAATACCGGAGTTTGACCCAAACTCTATAGGTCTCTTGCCCCTTCTCCCGTCTGCCCACCCCTCTTCTGCCGCAGAGACCCTCGTGGGACTCAAATCGAATCGACTTTAGCAACTTTAGACAGCTCGATTTGTCTGAAATCTCTCCACTTAGCAGCGCTCGGGAGATCAATTACCGGGCCAGGAAAACAGCATGAAATCCCATTTCCAACGGGATTGACTTTGCAGAGAGAATCAGGCGTACCGCTGAGCAGAAACAATTAACGCGCGCCCCGAATCCGACGGCCCGATTTCACGCTTCGAATTGGAGGAGGGCGCGCAAAAACTTGCCGGCGGATATTGCGGGGGAAAGTCATGCAGGACAGAGAAGCACGGGCCTGGGGAAGCCGAGCAAGGGGGACACGGTAAGCCGTCGGGGCCCCCAAGCCTGTGAGCGGCGGGGATGGGAACCCGAAGACACCTCCTGGGACTCAGACGGAACCTCCCGGTCATTTGCCGCTGGTAGAGCGAACCGGAGGAGCTGGTGTCCTTCAAAAGCGCCTATCGCGTACTTTGGATGCTCCGTCGAAGAGCATTTTTAGCCAATGGCTCCAGAAAGGGAAGGGAAGAAGTGGCTGATCCGCTGCCGGAATCCAGCCGGCCAGAACATATGCGTATCTTCCCCGAGAAGCAACGTCTTTCCCTGCTTGAATTCGGTAGAATTAAGCCGGGTGCTGTGTGGAGGGAGTGGGATGGAGGCATCACTTCGGCTGAGCCAGGGCATCACACATTCAGCCACACAATCCGCCTTGAAACTGGGGAAGGGGGTTGTAGAGACGTGGAAGGATCACGGTGTGCAGGAAGACCTGAAGACCGGTCCGCGGGGGCGGCGACAGCGGAGTCGCCCTTGGAACCCCGACGGACTTCTCCCCACTCCGATGGCCGAGCAAACTGGGCGAGGGAGACACGCCCCCAAACAAATGCTCTCCAGGGTCTCCTTGGCTCCTCCATCCGCAAAACAGCGCCCGATCCCCGATGGCACCGACTACGTTACCCACTGACAAGCGGCCCAGAGACTCAAAGGGGAACGATGGCAAGGCGCTTGAAACCGGCTTCCTCCACCCAGTGCAGGGGCGTCGAGGGAGTCCTACAACCTCCCGGGGAATTCCCACTGCCGGGCTCGTTCCCAAAAGAAAGTGGGATTTCGTTTGTACTCCCTTCATTCATTCAATAGCAATGTTATTGCAAATCATCGGCTATGTTGCAAGGATTTTGGAAATCCCGCGTGGCTGGGATTTAGCTGCGTAAGGGAGGGAGTTTCTGCTTGGGGGTGGAGTGGGGAATCCCTTGTTTGTTATGCAGATTACCTTTTTCCACCTTATCTATTTTGATCTGGCCGTTCTAGTCTCTTCCCAGGGTCCTGCTGTAGAATTCGGAAACCCACTAGCAGCGCCATCCTAACCATGTCCGCGCAGAATTAAGCCCCACTGAATCCCATAGGGCAGCGGGGTTCTTACTGCAATCTAAAACCTCCAGGTAAAGATCTGGGGATTCTCCTCCCCGCACCCCACCCATCGAAAGTCTTGTAAAACATAAATCTGAAAGCTAAAAAGATTGACCGATTCGTTTAATTTCTGTGCCCTTGTTGTGGATTTGCCCCCGTTTTGGATTTTGCCCTTCTTTCTGGATTGTAAAACGCTTTGAAAGGATTGCGAGGGAAAGGCCGGATAGAAATGGCTTAAATGGGTTAAGGAATGAGCAGTTCTCCGCAGTTCTTTCTCTTGTGGAAAGGATGCGCACCACTAAGCGCTGGAGGCCCACGTCTTCTCTTTCTTGTTTTAACTAAAGGAAAAGCAGCTTGCCAAGAGGAGCGCGGCGGGGCTTTCTATCTTACCACTCTTTCTGATTCCCGCACCACGTCGGGAGACCCCACTATTTCCTCACCCTCCACCCGTGGCCTATAGGAATCAATCCAGAAAGGGATGACATAGGATTTTAGGGTACAAAACGTTTTATTTATGATTATCACCCTCATCATCATTAATGTGCATGTCATCATCGTTGTGATTAATGCATAGTAAGCCTGGCATTAGCTCTTGACTGAAACTGTCAATTGTTATTTTCTACCAGTTATTTCGGTGTAATTTTACATGCCCTGAACGATTATATTAACTAAAATGCTCCCAATATGTTCTCTCTCTGTTGAGTTGCTGGGTTTAAACAAAAACAAAACAGTGGACTGATTAATCTGTTGAAACCTTGGGGCATGATCCAGCCAAAGCAAAGCACTTTTGTGTCCCATTTATTTATAAGGGGGTATGCAATTTTCTCCCAAGGGACTCAAAACAATGCTTTATTTTCAGTGGATCGTGCCCAAGATTTACAATTATTTGATGGGTTTATGACAATTCTTGGATGCAGATTAACATTTGTACAGTCCTCCTTTCTCCCTTCCCCCAAGAGGCATAAGGTAGATTCTGAATGTCTCTCCTTTTGCTTCCTATACGTACTCTAAACACATTCACCTAAAGAAGTCCCACTAAAATAAATGAGGCTGGTGTATTATAGTCTGATCCTAAAGGTAGCTATCTGCTTGGAACTATACACCACTGATTTCAGAGCCTTTTAAATTTTCAGGAAAAATATACATACCCCAATTATATGCCTGCTTACTTCAAAATAAGCATACTTATATTTAATAGGAGTCCTATCAAGCTCTTGATATTTACTTCATAGTTGGGCTCCATGGATCGCACACTTTTGCAGCTCATTCCTATAAACATGCCTATTGAGCAAGTTTCAACTGAATGGGGCTTATTTCTTCAAATTTGCTAATGATTGCAGTCTTTTCTCTTTTTTTTAAGCAAGTATGGAAATCATGTATTTCTGATTTTTACCGCACTACTTATGTTAAAATATTGCCTAAAAGCAGCGCATGGGGGTTTGTTTTTAAACAGGCGTTTCACTAAGATTATTGACTGAGATGAAGCATGTATTATGATGAACTAAGGAAAGTAAGTACAATTACTCCATCCCATCATACTCTCTTACCTTGTGAGGTATGGGCCTAACTTCAAGAAATCCAAGTTCTAAGCAAACTGGCTTTACAAAATGAAAGACACGGTCTAGATCTAGTCAACATTTAGAACAGCCACAGCGCAACCCTAGACATGTCTACTCAGAAGTAAGGCTTGCTGAATTCAGTTGCACTTCCTCCTAGGTAAGTATGTATGGGATTGCAGTCTCAAGTGCATTATTAGATCTCTCATGTTGAAATAAATGAACCTTCAAAGTGCTTAGCTTTGCTGAAATCATGCCCAATATGATTACACGATTTGTCCCTGAAATTGCAAGTTTGTCTGATTATAATTTCCCACCATAGATTTCCCCCTTCACCCCAGTCTAGCCTTACTGTGAGGTACAAGTTACCGGTAATTCAGAGACTCTGGAATTGGGTGCTCAGACACGACTGGGTGAGGCTGGAGCAAAGTGTTGCTTTGGGGGGGGGAGCAGATTTACAGAAAGCAGATGATGTAAGTAAATCCTGCACATTATAAACTTAAAGTAACCACCAGGCCTGTGGGCTTCTTCCCCAGTGGAGTATCCAGCCCAGCCTTTGATGAAGTGAAGCTCCCTCACAGCCCAGCTCTGCTTCAGATATTGTTTCAAACAGACTGATGAAGCCCTTTTTGCCTCATTTAAGATAAATAGAGAATGTTGGGGGGAAAGTGTCTTCCCCTATTTCTTTTCTTCGTTGTATGAAAGCCAGGCCGGGTGAAGGGGGAGGAGGGCAGGGCCAGGCTGAGATGTGGTGTCAGATCATGCAGAATCTCAGAGAACCCAGCCTTGCACTGGCCTCCTCAGGGAAGGAAATTTAAATTAACTGCAGCAGTTGGTGTGTATTTGTGTGTGTTTGTCCTGGAGTTGGAGAAAACCTTTGCATGGAACCTGGTTCCCAAGGCTCCAACGGAATAAGAGGAACCCTCCGCGCTAGCAGACCTTCCTGGCAAAGCTTTGACACTGCTTTGCCTGACAACAGCCTTGCTCAGGATGCAGCAAACTAGGAGATAGGTAACACAAAGAAGCTCATGGCTCAGCATCACAGAGCAAAAGATACCATAGAAAAAGAGGTATCTCTTTTTTGTGGCCATCAGCTCTGCTGACACTGATGCACAGTGGAATGAAAGGGACTATTGAGTGTAATGATCAGGTGGTATTTATTTTATTTCTTTAACAAGATTTATATACCACTTAATCAAATAATAATAATCCGTAAGTGGCTTACATATAGTATTCATTAACACTGTAATAAAATCTGACTTTGAAACAGTAAACATAATGATCAAAATAGAGATAAATCCATTGGGGGGAAATGCATCTAATTGAAACTGAAAAATAAATGCACCTAATCAAATTACATGTCTGGGAAGGTTTGCCGAAACAGAAAAGTTTTTAGCAGTAGTCAAAAACAGAACAGCAAAGATGCCTACCTAATATCTATAGATCAGCTGATGTCACAGTAAAAACAAATCAATTTTTCACAAGAGTGGAACAAATATTTTGCAGCCCTTGTAAAAGTGCCACTTCTGCAGATTGAAGCAGTCATGTGGGCACATCCAGGGTAAGGTGAGGGTCATAGCTGTACTGTAGTAGTAACGCTTATTTGGCTTACTCTTGGCAGGGACTCAGCTATTTCAAATGTACTGTTTCAAATTATGCCAACGTTTTGTCAAAAGAGGGATACTTCTATGAAGACAGAAAGCAAGGAAGGTGAGGATATTGGGGAAAACATGGCAGCCTGGGTCTTCAACAGCAACTAACAAAGAGCTTGCTGAATATGGATGTAAATGGTTCGCAGTGAAGAAGAGGTACATAATTTGGAGCAGATTCTGCCTATGTTGGCAGAATGCACTGAAAAAGAGAAGTATTCATCTTCCAGGCAGAAAAGGAACCCCTACCAAGAATTTAAGTTGAAATGCGTGTGACTCAGGAATCACTGATGATCAAGGCATTTTTCCACTTCTTCCTGAGTTGTGCTTTCTTTCTTGTTTTGAACTGATGATGGAAGGTAATAGATGGGCTCTGATACAGATGCAACCCTTTCTTGCTGTCCTCCAGGGGAGAAAGTATAGCTGTATAGCTGCCCAGGAGTCCTAAGGCAAGCTCTCCTACCTAGCTTGCCTACCTACCAAGCTCCTACCTACCTACCTGCTGTGATGCTCAAGCTGTAGCCCTTTGACCGCTAGTGGTCCATGAGCTCCATTCAGATGGTCCCTTAACAGGTTGCAGAACAGATGAGAACAACTGAACTCAGTAGCAGTCAAGTGATAGGGCAGTGCCATGGTGTGGAGTTGGGGCCAGATGGTGGTGAGCTTAGGGCAGCCTAGGTGCACCATTGGAGGCAATCTGGCACTTCCATCAGTATGCCTTTGCTGCTCCCTGCACCAACTGGGTAAGTGGCAGTAGCACTGCTCTTGAGAGGGCACTGTTCTAACATGTCAGCTGTTCTTGTTTGTACCTGGGTGTACAGTTGATTTCTTTTTTCTCACAATAATGATTAAGGTTAGTTTGACTGGTGCTAGAATGTCAAACAGGTTAACCGGACCCTAATCTGTACATTGCAGATGAATAAAGGTCTCACAAGGGCCAGGAGGATGCCAAAGTGGTTAATTAGCAAAGTTAAGAAGCTCTCAGAGGCAAAAATACTTTCTTTTTTTAAAAAAAAAATTATAATCAAAATCTTGTCCTTACAAAGAGAACAAAAAGGACCACAAACTTTGGCCAAAAAAAAATGGAGTCAAAACAAGGGAGTCAAAAATGCGCTAAAGGAGGATAAGGAGATTGGGGAGGGGGGAAGCTGAATTAATTATTTCATAGAATCATAGAATTGAAAGGGTGCACCTATCTTCACAATGGAAGATGTAGAGCAGAGCACTAACATTTGGAGGAAGGGAGTCTGAGAAACTGAAGCAGATAGTGGTGAAGAGAGACAAAATTCTAGACAAAATAAAAATGAATTAATGTAAAAAGGTAAAGGTACCCTTTGACCATTAGGTCCAGTCGCAGACAACTTTGAGGTTGCGCGCTCATCTCACTCTATAGGCCGAGGGAGCCGGCGTTTGTCCGCAGACAGCTTCCTGCTCTTGTGACCAGCATGGAGAACCAGAGCAGCACATGAAAACGCCGTTTACCTTTCCGCCAGAGCGGTACCTATTTATCTACTTGCACTTGATGTGTTTTCGAACTGCTAGGCGTGCAGAAGCTGAGACCAAACAACGGGAGCTCACCCTGTCTCAGGGATTCAAACTGCTGACCTTCCAATCGGAAAGCCCTAGGCTCAGTGGTTTAGACCACAGCGCCACCTGCGCCCCTAGCTTAATGTATGTCCCCCCAAAAAAGATAAAATAACCAAGAAGAACAAGCCTTGCTGCAGGAAAGCCTGCATGGCTTCTGCAAGGACCAGTCCTGTCTCATGACAAAGTAAAGTTATTTTAGAGTATCAAAAAGCATATAGATAGAGGTGATCCAGAAGAGGAGAGGTTCTGTTGTTGATCACAAATTGATTATGGTAAGATGCAGGAAGCAAATAAAAGGAATAAATGGACAGTTCTCCAAATGGAGACATGTAGACTGTAATGTCCCCCAAGGATCAGAACTAGGGGCTCTGCTTTTTAACTTGTTCATAAATGACTTAGTGTAACAGGTGAGCAGTGAGGAGGCGAAGATTGCTGATGACACTACAGGGTCATTAAACAGTGCTGTAGTTGGGGGGGGGTATAGAGGCTCCCAGCCTGTGTCTTTGACCCTGGTGAAATAAAGCCTAGTTTCACTCCTGCATTAAAACAAAAAGAGATTGTAAAGCGCTCTAAAAGGACCTCACCATTCCACTAAGTGGAATGGCAGCTGCAATTCAGTGTAAACAACTGTAAAGTGATGCATGTCAGAGCAAACAAATCTTAATTTCACATATATGTTCATGGGGTCTGGTGCTAACTGACCAGGAACAAGACCCTGGGTTCATAGCAGATAGCTTGATGAAGACATCAACCCAGTTGCACAGCAGCTGTGAAACAAGCAAATTCCAAGCTAGGGATAATTAAGAAAGGAACTGAAAATAAAATTGCTGATATAATGTAGTTATAAAAATCTATGGTGCAACTTCATTTAGAGTATTGTGTACATATCGTAAAGTTGGAACAGTGACAGAGAAGGGCAACAAAAAAGATCAAGGACTCTCCCATGAGGAAAAGATGCAGCATTTGGGAGTTTAGAAAAAAGGGAGAGAAAGAGATGAAATTATAAAAGTTTATAAAATTTGTATGCATTACATTGATAGAGAAAAGTTTTTCTTCCTCTCTGGCCTCTGTGGTCCGGAGATGTTTTTCCACAGTGGAATGAGGCCCTTGGGCAGATCCCGCCCCCCACAAACTCCTGTATTTTAGAGACAGCTGTTCTCATTCTAGAACACACAGTAGTAATTTCTAAGAACAGGACACTTACTATTAATTTATTATTATCATTATTATTAACTCCACTTTTTTTCCTAGAACTCAAGGCTGCACACATGGTTCTCACACCAACACGCTCTTACTTTATCTTCAGAAAAACCCTGCAAGGTGAGTTAGACTGAAAGGCAGACTGGTTCAAAGTACAGTATTGCCCCAAATATAAGTCACACCTGAATACAAGACGTACTGTACCTTTAAAATTCGGGGGGGGGGGGGAGAGAAAAAGAAAATACCTGAATATAAGCTGCTCCCTTAAAATTCCACAGGCACTCACACCCATTCCATTTTATCGTACTGTATGTCTGTTTCAGCAGCGATATCATATAAGCCTATTTTTTTAAGGTCACGAATTTAAGCTACACTTTAACTTTTCACAGTCAGAATTTGGAAGAAAAGTGAGGCTTATATTCAGGCCAATACGGTAATTGATGGTTGTGTGGAGACTTGAATCAGGGTCTTTCCACACCTAGCTCAATGCTCCAATCACTACTACACCACTTTGGCTGTTCCAGTCAAGTCAGTTTCAACCTTTACGGTACTTCCAACTGTCACAAAATGACCCTTTGGCAATCACCAGCAACAAGTCAAGGGGCTGCTTTTGGTTTCTTAAATGACTTCATGTTGGATTGCGAAGATGAAGAACTGAGAGCTGTAGATGGTCCACTGCGGACTAAACAAACAGATCTGAGGAAATTATTCTTTGGAATGAATAAGATTAAACTCCTGAAGAATCACCTCTAAGAACAAGAGTAAGATAACATGAGAATTCTGCTGGTTAAGCAAAAATCATTTTTATTTAGAAGGGCCTTGGCCTGATGATATTCTGACTCCTTGTGACTACTGTAAATAGGTTGCAATTTGAACTGGCTGCAGTTTTTTATCAGTTTTATTGTTTTTATTGTATATTCATCTGCTTTGTTTTTATGTTCTTAATATTTTGTAGTTTGCACTTTACAGCTGTTGGCTGCCTTGGAATAAGTAATAAATAAAGAAATTCAAGGACTGTTTTCTGTACCCACCTGCTCAAAAAGTAAAAGAAGTTTTTTTTCCCTTTGAGGCAACATTTTATGTTGGAATTTCAAAGGAACTATAGAGAACCATCTTCTCAACCAGAATCTGTGAGGAGAAGATCTCTTGAAGGACTTATGGGGGGGGCATTCACAATTTACAGGCCCCAGCCAAGAGCTTTATCAGCTTGCACCAGCTGTGACTCAGGCACCCACTTGGTGTGAATGGGTTGTTTCTTTGGAACATTATCATAATTACTTCTGAAAGCCTGGCTCCTTTTAAACTATTTTCTCCTGTAAATATTTAGCCCACTGATTTTTGTTAGGCTTGTAAATAACACCCCCTCCCTTCTCCTAAGCTTGCTGTTTTTAATCATAAAAGCATCCTTTGAGAGTAACGGAATGAGGGGAATGCAAAGGGTTGGATGCAAACATAGCTTTATCCAGAGCAGGGTTAGCTAATAAGGTTACAATCCCACGCAAACATACTAGGTAACAGGGCTGACCTGAACATTCAGGCAGCTGTTTGATGGCACAGTTCAAGGAATACCCATTTCACTTGTGTGTTGTTGTTGCTTTTAATTTTTCATACCACTTCCAATGCAATCAGGTCCCACATAAACTGGATGTAAGACTGCATGTGATATTGCATAGGGTTATCTGATGAGCCATATAGCTGGAAGGAACCTCAAAGATCAACAAGCTCAATCCCCTGCTGACATAGGAGATCTGTTGCTACAGCATCCCTGATAGGTAGCTATCCAGCCTCTGCTTAAAACCCTTTGACAAAGGAGAGTCCACCACTTTCTGAGGCAGTCTGTTCCACAGCTGAACAGCTCAAACTATCAGGAAGCTCTCCCTCAAATTTAATCAAAAACCACTTTTTGTACTTTGAACCCATTGCATCTGGTCTACCTCCCCAGGAAACAAATAACAGGAAACAAATTGAGTTCATCATGTACATGACAGCCCTTCAAATATTTGAAGTCTCTTCTCCTCTTAGGGCTTGGTCTCTAAGACCCTCACCATCTCTGTCCACCTGCCTCTGGACATATTCCATTTCTCAAAGTGTTCTTTAAGTGTGGTCCCCTTAGGAATGCCCTTTATTTGCCCCATCTCTTTGTCTCAGAAAAATGAACTTTGGAAGAATGTCCCATTGAGCTCAGTGACAATTACTTCTATATAAACCTGCATTGCAGCACAATGTACCGTATATACATGCAGGATAAATCTCCATACATATCAACTATTCAAAGAATCTTCCATCCAATCACAGGCTCTTTTTTTTTCAACTTTCCTTAAGAATATAGCCGGGGGACTTTTCCTATACGATTTCATAAGGCCTTTGTGAATCTTTACGGTATAAATAATCTAAAATTTATTCCTATGCTTATTCAGATAATTCCATTCCCTTTGGTGCCTACTGATGTACATGACTATCAAAGCAGTTTGTCCTATGTATTTTTACTTCACAGTAAATGCATAGGATTGCAACCTCACTAACCTTAGTGAGATCAGAGGAAACAGAGAGGCACTCTTAGCTCAAAAGCTAGCTAGCTAATTGTTCTTTCAATAATACAGGGAAATGTATATTTCTTATAAACAAGACTCGATACATGAAAAACACTACAGAAATAGTAACTCATTACAATAACTCTCCAACAGAAATGTTATTATTCATTTCATATGCATTCAATTCATTTCAAAATCCATATGTTGCTTTCAGTGCAAAATCCAGGGGTGGCAAGTTGCACATGACCAAGAAAGGGAAAATGCAACAAAAAAAGAGGATGAGAGAGAGGGGACACAGATTTGTATAATATTTGCATATGCAAACTTATAGATACAGGTGCACATTTAGAGAAAATTAGTATAATTTAAATTGAAATATAATACATCTAACTAAGGTAGAGAAGACTTTGACCAGGTGACTGTATGCCTGTTCAGTTTGCTCTCCCAGTGCTAACTGTTGATAGGCAACTTAAAGTCTCCTGTCCTTCCTTCTTAGGGCTATCTTTAAACTGGGCTTAAGCTGGATAAATAGATACCTAACTATCCCCTGACAGCCCTTTAGATAAAAGACAGACCTCTGTAAAGTAGGACACATGGCAAAACAAGGATAAGACTACCAGTGGCTATCAGTGATGTATGGGGTTCTGGGGTAGTTTGTCCACACTCTGGGAACAGCTTCAACTGGCCAACTAAACCAGGTGAGGGGTCTCAAACCCTTTGTGAGTTAGGGACTGCTTTTGCATGTGAAGACAGGCTCCAGCAGATTGAGTGGACAAGACCAATAGTGGATCCAATGGTCAAGAAGGCAGTTTCTGCATGTGCCATAGAGGGAAGTGAGGGGCAGATGGGGCTTGTCAACCTGGGAAGGTAGCCCTTCTAGGAGAAGGAAAACTCTGATCCTAACCCTCTGCTGCCTCCTTGTGGGATATCTTCAGGAGAAGAAAAGGCAAAGGAGTAAACTCTACACCATGGGTAGGCAAACTAAGGCCTGGGGGCCGGATCGGGACCAATGGCATTCTAAATCCAGCCCGCGGACGGTCCAGGAAT